TTAAGGCCAGGTTGGATGAGGCTTTGAGCAACCTGGTCTAGTGGAAGGTGTCCCTGCTGATGGCAGGGGGGTTGGAACTGGATGAGCTTTAAGGTCCCTCCCAACCTAAACCATTCCATCATTCCACGATTCCATGATGTGCTTTCACAGGCTGTAGGGGTCCAGCTCCATTTCTGCCCATTGTGGGCAGAGGCTCCTTGTTTCTTTAGCGGGAGAGGTGATGCTTTGAGGAGAGGGGTTTTTACCCATTTCTGAAGTGAAACAGGACAGTGTGGCTCCAGGTCCCAGAGGGGACAGGAGCAGTGATAACCAGTGCAAGGAAGCTGCTGCTGAGAAGACGATAAGCACTGTCAGGAACGGGCTTTCCCGCACCTCATCCCTGGCAGCTGGGAGCCCCTCCAGCCTGGGCAGCGGGCAGCCGAGCTCACAGCTCTGAGCTAACTGCACACAATAACCTGGCACACAAGACTCACAGCCTGCCTGACCCAGCAGCCGCTGCCGCAGGGGTGCCGAGCCCACCCCAGGCCTGTCCTGGACCATTTCACTATGAGCAGGAGCAGTTTACTCACATGGCTCCTACAGCCAGGAAAAGGGGCGTGCCAGTGCCAACATTTTTATTTAAAGCTGCTTAGCTAGTTACTAACAAGAGGGTTTTGGAAGAGTGAGCTTCAAAGGTTAATTGTGGCAATTGTAAGCATGAGTGGCTGACAAGCCTGCTCACTTGTCCCCGCCACAAAAGCCTGGGCTTTTCCTTTTTATTCCTGTCCCTTGTTTCTGCCTGTGCTAAATGACCTTTCCCTATTTCTCTTTTTTGTTCCAGTCCCCTCATTTGAAAACACTGTTTTTAAAAAAATTTTAAACTTCCCTTCACTCCATTTTGACCACATGCCTTGGCAAACTGTGTCTGACCACAGCAGCAATAGCATGAAAAGTGCTGTTGGCCAGGAGACAACCCTTTCCCTGCTCCCCCAAAAGCTGGCATGGGGCTAGGGCAGAGAGAGCCCAGCTGCCTTCAGCCTCAGCCCTTTGCAGCACTTCTAAGCTGTTTAGCAAGGTTGAAAGGTATACACTGTTAATTTGCTTTCAAGTGCTAACACTTGAGCTTTGTTCATTCCCAAGGGAAGCCAGCATGGCCTCACCAAGGGCAAGAAGGAAATACTGGACAAGGGCACTAGGTTCAGGCACAGCAAGCTCAAGACACGAGGAACCCTGAGATGAGACCCTGCAGAGTTGGGAGCAGCAAGCAGGGTGAATGATCGGCATCTTTGAAGTGTCCGGTCCTGAGCAGCTCATGAACACTAACACTGAGCCAAATATCCCCGAGTCCATAGTCACTTTGGAAAGTGTTAGCCTGGCCTCCAGTGTCCCCAGGGTGGCACACGCTGATCCTGAGAAACTGGAGCACCTGCCAGGCAGCACTAACTGCCAGCTCCCAGGCTCTCCCCTCCTTCCTTCGGCACCACCACAGGCACATACACCTTGTGCCAAACTCCTGGCCCCGGGGCAAGGCTTCCCCAGAGATGGGTTTCCCAGTAGTATGCGACCCTGATCCACAATGGAATCCCCTTCCCCACCCGCCTCCCTAATCCCCCTCCCGCCCCCTTCCCCATGGTTTATAGTGTTGCCCACGAGGCAGATGGTGCTGCAGTGGCGGGGGGGGGGGGGGGG